TTTTTTTTTTACATTCAAGCATCAGAAAAAAACTAGTCCTGATTAAATTAAAGTTAATTATTAGTTATCCTTTAGAGAGAGTCTCTGTTAGAATAATCATGCAGGACGGTGCACCCTACCTTTCCGAAACCCCAAATGATAAATACATTTGGATGAATTTTGTCTTTGACACATTTGCATCCTTATAGATATATATGAACAGTGATTTTTTTTGCCATGTGACTGAAATTGTTGCTGTAATCTCTTCGAAGATGGCTCATTTTATAAATGTGAAGAAGGCTGGGAAAAACATGGAGGAAAGTGCTATTACTTCTCCATCAGGCAATCATCCTGGAAACAGAGCAGAGTTGAGTGTAGAGCTAAAGGAGGAGACCTGGTTAAGATAGGGAGCAGGTATGAAACACTAGTCATGTTTCCACATGTTTCAGCACAGAACTGTCAGATAAGGTAATTTTCTTCATCTTTTTGTGATCAGGCATTCCTGGAGAGAAGAGTGAGAGAACTAATGAAAGAAGGTGAGGACAAGTTCTGGATCGGACTGACAGACTCAGCAGTAGAGCGCAGATGGTTGTGGGTGGACGGATCACTGCTGGATGAAAGGTTTGATTGTTGTGAAAAAAAAATCCATTTCCAGAATTAATATTCCCAGTTTTTACTTCTTTCTGTTCTTCATCTTTTAGTTTGAAGTTTTGGGCTGGCAAAGAGCCAAACAATGTGACAGAGGGAGATTGTGATGGAGAGGACTGTGTGAGGATGGGAGAAGAATTTGAAAATAAAGATCTGAAGTGTTGGTTTGATCAGTCCTGCTAAAAGCCTCAAAGAAGTATTTGTGAGAAAGCAGGAGTAACTGCAACTTAAATGTATATCTTTCTGAAATACAGTTCACCATGTTGAACACCAGAGTGGAGTGATGCAAATTTTTAAAAGAATTGTTGCAAACAGACAAAAAAAAGAGCACGATTAAATAAATGAAAGTAAAATTTGTGTATCTGGTATCTTCCTTACTGCTCTCATTATTTTGTACAACGAATGTGTGAGCTCCTGTGAAATTTTCAATATTTTTTTCAATTATAAATTGTCCCAATTTTTACAGCTTTTAAGCAATGAAAAAAAAATCCACCACATTTTGGATTTCACTGAATATATAAATATGCAAAATAGCTATTGAAGGAATTATTAATTATTATAACATTTAAAGCAGAATGGAAGACATGTTAAGTGTTAAAATGGAGTAAGTAATAGATATCGTTGAAAAAGAAGTGGAATTGACCATTACAGTGCTTGGAGTCACCTGATTGGCTGACACTTGTCAGTACTGCTATAACTGAGAAATCAACATAAATAAAATATGTTTTTATCTGCGCTCAACGTCACTGGAGTGCAGTGTTGGGCAAATTACTTTGAAAAAGTAATTCATTATAGTTACTAGTTACTTCTTCCAAAAATTAACTGAGTTACAAGATTCTAAAAGTAATTAATTACTAGGAAAAGTAGTTTAATCTTCTGGGATCCAGGGTATAATTGGCCATTTTTGACTACTTTTGATTTTACTTTTCACCTTTAAAAACTATTTACTTTGCCTTTTTTGGCATCATCCATTTCAGCACAACCTCACTTGTCTGAATTTACAGTCATGTTTTCATTTTGACATACTGTATTAACAAAAATCAGACAAAAAACATAAAATCCGAGTAGAAAAAGTTTTTTTTTTACTTTAACAACCACAAACACGTTTAATGAATCATATTTCATAACTTTAAATGCAAATACAAATTGTCAATTTTAAAATCCTAAACACAACTTTTGCAAAGTTATTTGCACCTGTTTACCTTTTACCTTGTTTCTTTTTTAACCATTTCAAACTATTCACAGAACAATCAGCTGTTCTGCATTCAATAAGATGCCACACAAATTATTTGTGCCACTCCAAAAAAAATATTTCTGTCCACTATAAAGGAGAACATCACAGCCTGATACCTGCAGGTCTGACAGCAGCAGGTGTATCATTCCTTTTTCTACCTGGAGACAGCAGTCGCCTCATTGTGCTGACACAAGACAAAATATTAACTACACACTCCAAACACACTAAACGTCTCAAATCTCTCACATCTCAATACTCGCTCTCTCTCTTTTTCTCCTGTCTCTCTCTCTCCCTCTCTCTCTCTCTCTCGCCGTCACTCCTAAAACGTCCCCCTCTACCTAAACATATCATTTTTCAATTTGTCGATATTGTACATTTTTCCACCAACACGAAAGGTTTTTTTTGTTTTTTGTTCATAAGCAGAGGGTGCTTGCGAGCACTGTCCTTAGACAGTAAACGTGAAGAAAGTATTCAGGAAAAAACACAGCGTATATATTGTTTATCATGACTCTGGTTTTACTCCACTTGTTGACCGAGCGAATGAACCCTATTGTAAACTGAACCTGCGTCATTACAAATCGTGTTTGTGTATGAGTGTTAAATTTGATTTAGTGATAGTCGAGTGTGTTTATGCTTGTTTGTGTGGAGAGTATTGATTGGAATTGTGATGATGATGTCCGCTATCACTGTCAATTGTAAGTAAACACTTAATCTGGCTGATGAATCTTCACGTGACTTCCCCAACACTCTGTGAATGGTACTTATGGCCATTGATCAGTGGTTGTTGATCAATGGTCATGAGAATTTGCATAATCATGATGAAGGAACTGACCTCCCAGCCCATTGTTCCTTCAGTGGGCTGGTTTCAGTCATTATGCAAATGTACTGTTTATAAGATTGGAGAAACCTGCAGTCAGCTGAGACTGAAGAAGTCACTTGGCTGAGTGATGAAACGTTTCTCCCACTGAAAGTGCTACGTCCAGATGAACAGAATCAACTTTTGGAGATTTACTTACCTGGATGATTAAGAATTCATCAAGGCAATGATTATTAAAAAGATCTGTTAATAAATCAACATCGTTAGAGACAGGCAAGACCACATTAAAAACATCAGGAAAAAATTTAGCAGCAGTAGAGGAGTTTAAAATATAAGAATTAACAAGATATCGAACAGGAGAGAGGGACAGATGGAAAAGTTAAATATAATAGAATGATGGCCCCAAATGAAAATGTCCTCAGTACTAATAAAGAACTGAGAATGGTGTGAGATAATTAGAACAGTATTGGAGGTGAGAGTGAGCTCATGAGGAGGGGCAGAACCCACAAACTGAGTGGAAATGCAGCTAAAGTAAGCATTCCAGGTGAGGCTGGAGGCCACTGTCAAGAACAAAAACAACATAAGAAGTCTATAAACAGGAATGCAGGTTAATAGTAAGATGAGCCTGATTACCACCACAGAGATCTGTTGGTCATTCAGCCAAATACTTCAGGGGTTGATTGCAATAGTTCAGAGCAGGTGTGAGAATGACAGACCAGAGCGCTCCACCTTGATTTGCACCTTGAACTCAGAACCACCACAGGAAAAATTTAAAAAGACATAAAGTAACCCAATCTTCCCGAGCCATGACAATAAGCAGTATTTTTGTATTTGTATTTTTGTTTTTTACAAAGATTAAGTGAAACCTTAACTGTTACTGGCATGTATGTGTTTCTTATTTTAAAATTTCCTAGAATTTGCACTCATAAGAACCATGGGAACCCTCAGAAACCTTGAATTGAAGCTGGAAACTGTAAAAAAAAAACCCTCTCGTATAGGTAAGAATATGGAGCTCATACACTGCAGCATTATATCAACCTTGAACTGTGTGACCATCAGTGAAATTTAATCTTCTGAGACACAGCTATTATTATGCACATTTTCACTCCTGCTGTCTCCAACTCCTACAAATATGAACAGTAAATTCTTCTTTGCTGCATTCCCTCAAAGATGAGCCCTTTCTAAGATGTGAAGAAGGTTGGGAGCAACACAGAGAAACCTGCTATTATTTATCCACCAGGAAGTTGTCCTGGAGCAAGAGCAGAGACGATTGCAGAGCTGAAAGGGGAGACCTGGTTAAGATAGACAGCACGGAGGAGCAGGTATAAAACATTGCTGTAGGTTCATGTTTTCTGATTCTTACATTTTTGTCATCTTGGCACAGAAAACACAGAGTAATTTTAATCAAAATTTCCATTTAGGAATTCTTGGTTGAAAAAATAAGATACAAAATGAAGGATTTGGAGGACAAGTTCTGGATCAGACTAACAGACTCAGCATCTTAGGGCACATGGTTGTGGACGGATGGCTCACTATGAATTCTGGGATAGGTTGGACCACGAAGGATATTTACCTCGCCTTGTTTCTTGTGTTTTGGTATCAGCCGCAATAAAGGCTCGTTTTTGGTTTATTCAAGTTATTTTCCACGTTCCATTTTGTCAGCATTTAAATCCATTATTCACTCTTCACAAAATCAGCTTCTGCCTGGCTGTTACAAATTTTTGTCTTTTTTACTTCCTCACATGCATACCTAGACTGCATACCTCATGCATACCTCACAGCACTCTGAAAGTTTGGAGAAGGTGGCCAAACAAGACATCATAAGCAGATGTTCCAATTCGGACATATTATATAATCATGGGAGTTGAGCAGATTGTGTGTCCAGTGTATTGTTGACATAAAGCTGATAAGTCAGCCTCTAAAACATCCTGAACAGCAGGTAACGTGGCGAGAGACAAGACCAAGCTACAGGTAAGAGTTTAGAACTGCCTTCTTGCTTTCTGCTCAAATTAAAAGTCTACAGTGTAATGTTTTCCTTGTTCTAATCCAATCAGAATAACATGTGCTGTAAAATCCATTTGTGACCCTCTGATTTACTAAGATGGATCCAAACTCATAATTCCCAGATGAGTTAGATCATGTCATTACTGTTTTTAGTTGTGCTAAATGTTTTATAATGTGAAGACAACAGAAAACATTTTGCTTTGAAAAACTTTGTAGTTTGTTTTGCTTCATTAAATTGTAATGATGGTCAGTGTAATCAGGTAAAGACCCAAAAACTGGATACAAAATGAATTCATGAAGAATATTTTTCAATTGTCTTCAATTTATCATTTAGATCTATTTAAACAGTTAAATTGTTTCCTATATTTTTTGCTCCCACTGTATGTTTTAATAATAATCTGATCACGTTGTGTGGTGAATTAACCCTTTTCATTTGTAGTATTTCACTGAGTTTATTTTATTTCCACATTGTGTTAAACATTTTCCTTAAATTAATCTGCTGCCTTTTTATTTTCCGACATAAAATATTAATTACAAATACTATATTAGAGACCCTGAACTGGTTAACGTTTTTTGTTGTTGTTGTTGTTGTATTTTTACATAGAGATTCTTGAGCTTTTCCTCCTTTCATCAGTGTCAGTCACATTTATGGAAAAGATCCCATTCATGAAGCATGCAATAACACCAAAGTGAACAGAAACACAGTCCAAACAACACCAGCTGTTAGCACACTAATCTTTTCGCACACATTACCTTGAAACCTGAGGGCGCAGTCAGTGAATGATACTGTGAGCTTTTTGGCACCGACAGTGACGACATGTATGTGCACAAAGTATTGCAGCTTTTGTCATCGAATACTTTGTCCAAATACCAAACTGATGTTAGGTATTTGTGATTTTATATACTTTTTTGTTATGTTGACTGTAAATGTTGTAAAGGTTGTAAAGGTGGCTTACTTTGCTGTTTCCAAACTACTGGCTAGTGGAAGTGGATCACTCAGTTCTACTTTTACCAATAGATGCATTTAATTTTAAGAGTGGAGTCTACTGTGAAGTAGTTATGAGAGAAGTAAAGGAGAAGAGAGTTGACATGGTTATAAAATCTGTGCAGGGAGGAGGGTTTGAGTAAACAGGTGGGATAATAATACAATGTGCTTGACAAACCACTCAATGACCCTGGAGCACTGCATTAAAAACATACAGTTGTTTAGTGAAAATGTCTGTACAGACTCAGGAACACCGTTCACTGCAATGTCCACAGAGAATATATATGTAGACAATGCTGAGGATTGCATAAATGTGTTCCAATATAAAATAGACCCTCACAAGGCTGACTGTGTCGATCCAGGTATCCTGGCTAAAATGTAAATCTACTATTTTTTCTTCTCCACAGCCTCCAGCAAAGCCATGGACTCTAGTGTGCCTCTCGTCCTTTTGCTGCTCATGTGCAGTTCAATCATGGTCGAAGCCCAACTCAAGGTGTATGATCTGCGAGCGACTGATCTTCCCACCGTTGTCCTGTTAACCACAGATGCCTATGTCACGGTGTCCTCTGGTTTTACTTCTCTGGGTAAAACATCTGTTCGTTACAATGACCCGAACCCCTGGTGGGAAGAGGAATTTTCCTATTTCTACATTGAGGAAAATGACACGCTGACCCTCAAGGTTTATGACGTAGACTTGGTCTTTGATGATTTGCTGGGAGTCTGCAAAAGGCAGCTCAAGGTGGGAACCTATCAGCATGACTGCTTCCTGACCAAAGGCGGGACTCTCCATTACACTTATACTCTTGGTTGAAACAGTCAGTAGGCATGCAAAGATTTGTATGACATCTGATGTCCACAGGCAGCCTTCATTTACCACAGCTTAACAATGTAGACTATTATAGTAGATCTGAAATCCATTTTCAGGGTTTTGATCATGCTCACATTAACCGAAAATATTAAACCTCTTAAAACCTGTAAAGTTTTTCTACTACACTTCAGTCCTTGCTGCCTTGTTTCACCAATTGAAATAAAGTTTCTTGCAATGAAAACATGAAAAAATAAAAGAATGACTATGCAAATATTCAGAGAATGTCTGACATGTATGATTTAATAAAAGAAACATATTGAGAATATTGTGACTGACAAACAGATTTTTGAAGAATAAAAATATTTCTATCCATTTGAATTAAAAAGAAGTTATGTTGAAATTAATGGTTATATGAGAATAAGCCTATGGTTACTAGGATAAATTGAATGAAACATGAAGTGACTGTATGTTCATATACATACATGGAATTAATAATAAGTCACTTTAAGAATGCCTGACCATCGGTTTGTGCCTTGAAGCTTAAGCAAACTTGTGCAACAGGGCAATGATCAAAAACACAGCAACAAATCCACCTCTGAATGGTTAAAAAAACAAATTCTGGAGTGAAACATCAAAGCCCCCAGTCCCCTCTGAGGTTCCAGAAACTGGGACAATCCTTTTTGTCCTTTTTATGGCTTTATAGTGGGAGTAAGGGCGCCCTCCGTTTGCGAGGTGCGCCTGCTGCTTGCGGCACAGGGAGGAGAGGGCGGGGCGGTCCAGAGGGAGTCTTCACCCAGGGCGCCAAACAGGTTAGGACCGCCACTGCGTGACATTTCTTCTCATTGTGTTTGTTATTTTTCATATTCCAATGAAGGCTTTAAGTGTTTCAGAGTGATCACATACAAGAAAATAAACCTTCACAATAAAACAGGAAATGATAAGACACACATACTAAACATGTACGGAAAGATGCACACTAAATCTATCTGTGATATCAGGATTCACCATGGTAACAGGTAAAAATAGAGCAGCACCATCGTTTTAATCCAGTGAATATGTTTCATTGTTGACTGTGATCTTCAACAGAGAGATGAAAATAGTCATTGTCCTGTTGCATGACTTAAATTGGGCCAAGCTTTTATGTTGTAATAAAAAACAAAACGTCATTAATCACAAAATGAAAAGCCAGCCAAGAAACAACAGAAACCATTAAATAGTAAAGACTGGCCCTGGATATGCAAGCTGTCCAGGCTGCCCAAGTTGCAAATGATACTCGTGATACTGAGGTTACAGTGAGGCTGGGGCTGCACGAGGCCCACATTCAACTCTGGAGGCTGGGGTTTAGGTTCTTGCCTGAGTGATGGGTGCAGGATGATCAGCATGCTCATGATGTTCTTCATTTTGAGAATACACAGGATTTCCAAGGAACTCAAAATTCTCTCAAAATGATGATCTTGATTCTCAGCCAGCTGTGGAATGGGTTTCACTACTGCTTCTGAACCAAATATCACAACCAAACAACTATAAAACCCAGCAAGTCAAAGGGAAATTATTAAAAATACATATGTGTGGCAGTTTGGTCTGCAGCTCGGCTACAAGGGAGGGGCAGTCCAGTGTGTTCAGGGGCAGTGATAGGGGAGGCTGGCCGAGACAGCCGGGATCCATCATTTTAATCATGCCTGCCCTATTTCAGTATTTCAGTAGCTGCTGGGGCCCAAAGAAGGAGTTGGATTTTGAGCAGCTGACTGTGAGGGTGAAAAGTGACATCAGCAGCCAGTAAGAGGAAGAGTGAATGAGCAACAGAGACAGTGACAGTGATAGCAAGACACAGACTACCAGTCAAAGGTTTGGACACGCACTCATTTGATGGTTTTTCTTTATTTTCATGAATATTTACATTTTAGATTCTCACTGAAGGCATCAAAACTATGAATGATCACATATGTATTGAACAAAAAAAGTGTGAAATAACTCAAAATGTTTCATATTTTAGATTCTTCAAAATAGCCACCCTTTGCTTCGATTCCTGCTTTGCACACTCTTGGCATTCTCTCAGTGGTCACCTGAAATGGTTTCCCAGAGATGCTGAGCACCTGTTGGCCCTTTTCCTTCACTCTGCCGTCCATCTCATCCCAAAACATCTTGATTGGGTTTAGGTCAGGTGACTGTGGAGGCCAGGCCATCGGGTGCAGCACTCCATTACTTCTTGGTCAAATGCAGCCTGGGGGTGTGTTTGGGGTCATTGTCCTGTTGAAAAATAAACGATGGTCCAACTAAACGCAAACCAGCTGGGCAGCTATTTGACCATAAAGGCCTGATTCACACAGTCCCCTCTGAACAGTTGATGTAGAGTTATGTCTGCTACTGGACCGCTGTGTGGCATTTATCTGGGCTCTAATAACTTGGGATTTCTGAGGCTGGTGACTCAGATGAATTTATCCTCAGCAGCAGAGGTGATTCTTGGTCTTCCTTTCCTGGGGCCGTCCTCATGTGAACCAGTTTCGTCCTAACACTTGATGATTTTTGCAACTGTACTTGGGGACACATTCAAAGTTTTAGCAATTTTCTGGACTAACTGACCTTCAGTTCTTAAAGTAATGAAGGACTGTTGTTTCTCTTTACATAGCTGATTGGTTCTTGCCATAATATGAATTCTAACAGTTGTCAAATAGGGCTGTCACCTCTGCTGCCCTAGTTCACAAACTGCAGCTTGTTCAAAATGCTGCTGCGCGTCTCTTAACTGGGACTGGTAGGTTTGAGTCTATTACTCCAGTTCTTTCCGACATGCACTGGCTCCCATTAAATATCGTATTGATTTTAAAATCTTATTGTTCACTTTTAAAATCATAAATAATACCGTGCCCAGCTATCTTACTGATCTCCTCAGCTTTTATACCCCTATAGGAGAGCGCTTAGATCAGTAGGCCAAATGCTCCTGGTGCGACCTAGATCTCGGCTTAAGACCAGAAGTGACCGCACATTTGCCTCTGTTGCACCCTATCTCTGGAATAATCTCCCTCGAGCTATTCGCGCGTCTGATCCAATTCAATTGTTTAAATCTCAATTAAAAACGTGTTTATTTAGCCTAGCCTTCCCGGCTGCCTAGAGCCTGCATTTGTAAGTGTACTGTATTTTATCGTTTTGCTCTGAATAATGCTTATAATGATTTAAACTTCAGCCTTGGCTTGTGCCTACTGTGCCTGCTGTATTATTGGTTAGTTATGTCTCCCACCTGTCAGTGTATTTGTACCTGTTATTGCTCTAAATTGGTTCTGTGAAGCACTTTGGCATACCTCTTGTTTTTAAATGTGATATATAAATAAAATTGTATTGTATTGTTGTATTGTGTACTAGCTTGACTTTTTCACAAGACAAGTGATGGTCCCAACCCCATTAAGAAGGCAAGAAATTCCACAAATGAACCCTGACAAGGCACACCTGTGAAGTGAAACCATTTCAGGTGACTACATCATGAAGCTCACTGAGAGAAGGCCAAGGGTTTGCAGCACAGTCAACAAAGCAAAGGGTGTCTACATTCACGAATCTAAAATATAAAACACATTTCGAGTTATTTATCAATTTTTTCTTTGCTACATAATTCCATATATCTTGCTTCATATATCTGATGTCTTCCGTTTGTTTCTACTATGTAGAAAGTAGTAAAAATATAGAAAAAACATTAAATGAGAAGCTGTGTTCAAACTTTTGACTGTTAGTGTATATCTATATGGTAACTTGTGGATTTTAAATCATTTAATATGCATCTGTTAATCCTACAAGTTCAGCTGCTTGAGTTGAATAGTAAGTAAGTAAATAAAATTTATTTATATAGCACTTTTTAAGACAAGAAACTATAACAAAGTGCTTCACATGAAAATGTAAAAGCATATCAAACAAACAATATAAA